CAACACGGTGACAAACAGAGTGGAATTCATCACCAACATTAACCCCTGGTGTCTTTCCCGTGGGACACATCCTGAGGTGCTGTCCCAAGGATGTTTTTCCCAATTGTCCCATGAGCTCCTGTCCTGTCCTGGCTGCACTAACACACTTTAAATACAAACTGTCTGTACAATAAATTGGCCTTTTTTCCCCAAAAAAGATCCGTGTGCGTTGCTGTCCTTTCTCTCTCTTTGCAGAGCAGTGACCACACTCAGGTTTGCTCCCGAGCAGCCCAGAGCATGGCAGCCTGCTTCAAGCAGGAGCTGGAGAGCCCTGGAGCTGCACTGTCCACAGGGGTTTGGTCACAACGTGGGGAATTTGCTGTCAGCATCCTCCTCTTCCTCACTGAGGGCTTGTAGTCTGGGGCTGCTTTGGGGAACTGGGGCTGCTTTGGGGTATTATTGCTGCTTTGGAGAATTGAGGCAGCTTTTGGGAATAGGGCCTGCTTTGAGAAATTGGGGCTGCTTTGGGAAATTGGGGCAGCTTTGGGAAATCGGGGCTGTTCAGAAGATTTGGCTGCACAGAGCCAGCCTGGCGTCTGCAGAGGGGCACAGAGCAGGACACCAAATCTGTTACAGAGAGGAGCCACTGGCACAGGTGGCAGTGAGGAAATCTTCCTGTCCCTGCAGGTCAGAGCAGCAGTGGATTTGATCAGAGGGGTTCCATGCCCGGGTAAGGTGCAGGGGGAGACAGGAGCAGCCTGGAAAGGGCTGGCTGGAGCAGTGCAGGCTGGACACTGCAGTGGTCAGTGTGACACTGAGCTGTGGCAGGCCTGCTCAGTGCAGGGCACAGGCTCTGCCCCTCTGTCTGGAGACACAGGTCACCTCCAGCCCAGCTGCACTCAGGACAGGCTGTGCTCAGCACTGCCTCGGGAGTTGAGAATCTCTCTGCTTCCCTTGTGGCTCACATGCAACTTCCCAAAGAGCACGGAGAAACCCACCTCTGCTTTAGTGTGCTTTGAGAAAGCCCAGCTCACACCTGCTTCGTTTTCTAGTGAGGGAATTTCTCTGTCTTCCCAGGCTGCAGAACCCAGGAGCAGTCGGATGTTTTCCTTTCAGTGACCATTGGAGCTTTGGTCCTGTGTAAATCCGTGCTCATTTTCTTGTTTCATTGCTGTTTCCAGAATATTGTTCTTTTCTCAACTCATGATCTTTACCTTTTGTGCCTCCAGTTCTTCTCTCAAGCCCACCAGAGAAGGAAGGGGAAAGGGAGAGGAGAGTGAGGAGCAGTGGTTTGCAGTGTTCCAGTGGAAATTCCATTCCCAAACCACAACAGTGAGTGCATGAACACTCTCCATCTCAGCCCCTCGACTTCTGCACCAGCCTCCAAAGGAAGAGGCAGCACTGAGGCATTTGCAGTACTCACCCTGCTACAGCCATGGAAAATGTATAAATAGGCTCAGAAGGGCTTCCTGGTGGCATTGAAACTCCTGTCAGCTTCTCACACTCTGCCATGGTCAGCAACTCCTCTTGCAACACTCAGGAGTTTCCCAGGCTTGTTCCATTAGCTGAGGTTTATGTGCCTTGATGCATCCCCCGAATTGTGGGCACAGGGCATTGTTCCTTCATGTACTCTGCCGAGCTTTGATGTGCCAGTTTTCTCCATCCTGTGGTGGCTCTGAGCACCCTCTCTGACCAAACACTGCCTTTGCAGTGACTTCCCCTCTGTGCCAGAATTTTCTGCCTGCCACATCATTTTGCAGGTGCCAGGCGTGGGACCCCTTTTGCTTTGCATGATTTCAAGGTCCCTTCCAACCCAAACCATTCAGTGGCTCTCTGAGGCTGTGGCCTTTCCCTGCCCTCTGAGGACACCGTGCCCAGAACCTGGAACCCCCACTCTGTGACATCAGCCCCAGGGCTGCAGGTGCCACAGGCAATGCAGCTGCTGCAGGCACTCGGGTCAGTGGCTGCGCTGGAAGAGACAAGTTTTTGTTTCTTTCAGCTGCCAGATGCCACTGGCAGTGATGAACGTGCTGCACCTCTTCATCCTGCTGGCTGTGTACAGGCTTGCACATGGCACCTGGGACACCTGCAGGTATGGCCCCGGGCTCTGGGAAGGTGTTTGTCCCCCACTGCCACACCCCAAACCCTGTGTGGGAGCCTCCTTGCCGGCACCCAGGGGCTGGAGGAGCCATGGTGAGCAGCAGCAGGGCAGGGCAGGGCAGGGCAGGGCAGTGATGACCTTTTCTTGCAGAGGGACCTGCGGGCACCGGCCCATGGCTTCTGACTATGACTCCATAGCCTCTGACTTCAGCATCGTGGCTGGCACAGGTGCCCAGCCGGGGGCCTGGCCCTGGATTGTCAGCATCCAGGACCCCAGGAAAATAGGAACTGGCCATACGTGTGGAGGGTCCCTCATCAGCCCTCAGTGGGTCCTCACAGCAGCACACTGCTTCCTGCAGGCCAGGTAAGGCATCAGGGGGTCCCCACCACACAGAGCTGCCCAGCCTGCAGCACCACGTGCTGCTCCCCTCCTTTTCCTTGCGGTGTGCCCGGTGCCTGGGCACTGCAGAGCCCAGCTGACACACTGCTCTGAGGGCTGGGCTGGGGCCACTGGTGCCCAGCAGCTCCTGGAGCCTGAGGCGTGCCCGGGAACACTGCTCATTGCTTTTCCTCATTGCTTTTCCTCATTGCTTTTCCCCATTGCTTTTCCCCATTGCTTTTCCCCATTGCTTTTCCTCATTGCTTTTCCTCATTGCTCTGCTTTTCTCTGCCCCGGCAAGCAGAAGGTGTCGCTGTAAGGCTAGGGAGCAGGGGAGAAACACAGCAACACAGGCTTCATCTAGAAAACAGAAGAAGCGATTTATTGCAGGAGCAGGCACATTTTTATAGACTGGTTCGCTGAACTAAGGATACAATGAGCTCATTGGTCCAAGGAAGGCAATACCTTCTGTAAGCATGCTTTTACCAAAACATCACGCTTCTCCCACACTTTTCCTGTCCACAGCACCAGGTGCTAAACTTTATTAATTCCTTATTAATTCCTTCCTTTCTGTTTTCCTTTGAGTAGCTTGGGAAAACTCAAACTGCTCTTTACCCTGGCCCTTACCAGCATCCACGTGAAGGCAGGGAAGTGCTGAGCTGCCACGGTGATGCCTTTTCAGGATTATCTAAAAACAGAAGCCAGACAAAATTAAGGGAATAAAAAGCAGTTTTATTTATTGAAGGGCTTTCAGGTACACTTCAGACAGACAAAGCCCCCCAGGGGCTACACCCAAAAATAGATTACAGGGTCACAGGTTTTCATGCTTTTATAAGTTTGGTCCATTTGCATATTGGGGGTTAATCTTCCAATTACAGCTTCAGATAATGAAGTCATTTACTCTCAATTTGCCACCCCCTAACTCATTTTTGTTTACATTTCTCAGTGCCTGAGACAGTGAGGGGTCCTTCAATTCCTAGAGAGGAATTGTTGTGTCTGACAGAGTGGGAAAGCAGCAGCTCACACTGTACATGGAGTTTAGAATTACACACTAAAGAATCGCAGCATTACAGATCCATCAAAAAATACCAAAGCTACAATCCTAAGGCACCACCAGCACATGTCTGCTCCCTGTGCCCTGCAGGAATGTCACCATGTGGCGAGTGCTCATCGGGGCCACCCAGCTGACCCACCTGGGCCCCGAGGCGCAGGTGCGGCACGTCAAGCGGCTGCTGGTGCACCAGCACTACACGGCAGCCTCGCAGCAGAACGACATCGCCCTGCTGCAGCTGGACCAGCCCGTGCACTGCAGTGACTACGTGCAGCCGGCCTGTGTGCCCAACGCCTCGCTCACCGTGTCAGAGCTCAAATCCTGCTACATTGCGGGCTGGGGCTCTGCCAGCGCCAAAGGTGAGTTCCCAAAAACGGCCCGTGCCCGCTGGACGAGGTGGGTTGGGCTTCCTGATAACAAAGTCGGGCTGTGGGATGTGTCCCTCTGGAGAGATGGGCCTGGCTGCTCCCCAAAGGCAGGCAGGAAGGACACAGCTCTTCAACAGCTGCTCCAAAGGCAAAGCCAAGCCATAGGTGTGGAGGGAGCAGAAAACACAGAAGAAAGTTCCTCTGCATCCTCAGAACAAGCTCCTTGGAAAATCATAGCTTAGAGATAAGAAATGGATTGTGAAATGACGAATACAAAAGGAATTTAGCTTCCCCCCTTTGGAAGACCCTCTTATCTATCTACAATATTAGTGGTTCATTTTCTTTTAGTATCCATAGGCCAGCTTTGAATGCAAAATTCCTCAGGGATTGGTCAGAAAGTAGAATTCCCTTGGTAATTGGTGCAAATTGTAAAACCCTCAAAAGTTATAAACACCCCCGTAAAACAATAGCCATGGGTATATGCTGGATAGGATGCCTGAATAGAATAAACGATGGATTTGTGCCTCTCTGCATATCCTGGTCTCTTTTCCCCGCTGGTCTGAGAGCTCCCCACGAGCCACAATTCTATCTGGGCAAGGCTCGGGAATTTGCTCAGTCACTGAGGGCTGTGAAAGCAGCCTCGGGGATCCCAAAGGGACCCCGAAACCCCACCAGTGACACTAGGGAAGGACTTCACCCCCAGACAGGGCAGAGGAGCTGACCAGGAGCTGCTGGGTGCTCATTCCTCCCTGTGCTCACAGCTCTGGGTGTGAGTGATGTCCTGCAGGAAGCCAAGGTCCGTCTCCTGGACAGCCGTGTCGTTAACAGCAGCCGCTCGTACGCTGGGACCATCCACACCCACAACCTGTGTGCTGGCTACCCCCGCGGTGGCATGGACACCTGCCAGGTACGAGTGCTGGGAGCCAGCCCCAGCAGTGAAGGTGCCCCATCACCGTGTGCTTTGCCTGGCAAATCGCTTTTCCACCCCTGGGTCCCCTCCACTGGTGCAGTTTCCTTTCCAAGTGCCCACGTCCCCCAGGCCTGCCCCTCTGCCCAGAAAGCCCATCCAGGGCTCTTGGCAGCCCAGAGGTCCAGATTCTGGATCATCCATGCTCTGCCCATCCAGGATCACTGTGCAGATACAAGAGGGGACTTTGACAGACACCCACCCTGTTCCCAGCTAAGGTTCTGGAGACTCCAGCACCTGAGCAGAGAGCCTTTTTGTGCCAGGAACACAGCTCGTGGCAGGGGCTGCAAGAGAGAAGCAAGCCTCTAGTGCTGACAGCAGCCAGCCAACAGCACCCTGATCCTTTTCCTCTGCTGCAGGGTGACAGTGGAGGGCCCCTGGTGTGCAAAGATAACCGTGCCAGCTACTTCTGGCTTGTTGGAGTGACCAGCTGGGGAAAAGGCTGTGCCAGAGCAAAACGGCCAGGAGTCTACACCTCCACCCAGCACTTCTACAACTGGATCCTGGTGCAGATGGGCCTGTGCCCAGCTGTAACAGACACTCCAGCACCAGACTCAACCTGCATCTCAACCCCTCTTGAGCAGCCAGAGCCAACGCCAACGGAGTCAGGCTGCTCTACTCCCACTCCACATCCACAGACAACTGTGACAGCCACTCCAACACCAGAGCCAACCTTCAGCTCAACCCCCTCTGAGCAGCCAGAGCCAACGCCAACAGAGTCAGGCTGCTCTACTCCCACTCCTCATCACCCAACTGTGACAGCCACGCCAGCACCAGAGACCTCAACCCCCTCTGTGCAGCCAACACCAACACAATCTCCAGTGACCGTTCCACAGCCCTACCAGATACTGGTGCAATTCTTAACCCAGGTGCACCAGGTGCTGCTGAAACTCATGGGAAAAAAGTCATGAGCAGCAGGATGAACAGGATCCCATGCAGGCTGCAGTGGACCATGACCATTTCATACTGCAGCAGTGCCTGCTGAGGCAAAGGCAGCCTCAGGGTCAAAGGTGTCCTCTGTCCTGCCCATCTTCCTCCTCTGCATGCACACAAATGCTGAAATTGATTTAGTTGTGGAAATAAAGTTGCCTTTTGCCACTGGTAGCATGTGTTTGCAGTCCAGTTCAGTGTCCTGTGCAAGGCAAGGAGTCCCAAGCCAGGCACCAGCAAAACAAAGCCATGATGGGAGGTCACAGCTCTCGAGGACAGCAGTTGGGACAGCAGTGGAATCCCTGGGTGTGGACTTGAAACTGGACTCTCATGACTCAGGAGACACCGGTCTAGAAAGACTCAAGGCTGAAGACTGGCCAGACACAGGCTGAGGAGGAGTTCAGAGCCCAGAATTCACAGCCAGGAGTTCACAGCCCGGAGTTCACAGCCAGGAGTTCACAGCCAGGAGCGTTCTGAGCAGTGGGGAGGCAGAAGAACCTGGTGCCACCCCCATACTGTGACACATGAACTGTCCACAGCCCTCCTGCAGACACTGCTGGCACTTGGACTGACTCCACATCTGTCACACACACAAGAATATTTTGGCAAGATGCCTCATGTTCCCCTACCCTGAGCATCTTTACCACTCTGAGGAAGCCACATCTCTGTGCTAAGGCTGGAGAGCAAACACTGGGTTATCCTCCAGGTAAAGTTAAAACGTATCAGAATGTCCTCGGTGTCCTTCAGTGTTTTCAGTCTTCTCCTCATTCTGCTTTTGAGGCTGCACATGCAAGGCTGAGATCTCTGTCACCCTGAGAAGAACCATTCCAAAAGCACTGCACACCATCATCTGTTCAAGAGCCAAGCAACTCCCCAAAGCAGAGCAGAGAAACTCAGGCAGGAAAGGGGCAGGCAAGTCACAGTGGGGGATGGATATGCAAGACAAGGAAAGAGATGGGTCTGCAAGGCAAGGAAAGAGAAGGGAGGGGTGGGCAAGGCAAGGGAGGTTAAGGCAATGACAGCCAAAGGAATTGTGTGCAAGGCAGGCAAGGCATGGGTAGGGAAGGTAAGACAGAAATTTTTATCTGGAAACAGAAGAAAACGATTGCTGGGTTCATGTTCACATCGAAGGATATCAACACCACCATGCAAAAGAGCTGTGAGCTTTCCTTTCAGGGTACTGTCACATTCTTTCCATCATGCTCAGCTTCTGAACCAAAATTAATTGTATCAAATGTAAATACTGGTCACAAAATGTACCCTCTCAATAAGCTACAGCCGTCTCCACCTTTAACTCACATCCTGTAAAAAGCAGACAGCCCATGGAGTTGTGCACCCTGCTGCTCACATGCATGAACCATCACATCCTTTCACTCTTGCAGAGCCCACATTCATAATACCTCGAGCAATTGCTCCCATAGCAAAGATGCTAGAACAAGAAATAAGGATGGACTTAATTTTCCCCTTGCAGCTGGCAAACTGCATCACACATCAGTCTCACAGAGTTCATTACAAAATTAAGAACATTCAGCATGTGGTCCCACAGAAAATGTTGTAGAAGAGGCTGTGCTGGAATCCACTTTTACTTTTGCAGCTTAGACTATATAGTTTATAAACTGCACAGCCAACAAACTACTCCCCTTTGCTCCCAGCTCTGTGCAGGATCACATTATTTCAGTCTCCAAGAGACCCAAAACTGCACCTCTTCATTAACTACTCCCACACGAATGGTGCCAGGAAAGAAAAGCTCTTGGCTTTGCCTTGGGCACTGTGAGCGCCCAGCAAAACAAGCACACGATGGGGGTGTGGACTTGCAAAAGAAGGAACCGAACCCAGCCCAGCTCAAAACCACCCCGAGGGCAGAGCCAAGTGGAAAAGGTCCCTGCTCTCAAAGCAGCTGTGTCAGGACACAAGGATTTCACCCATCTTCTCCTTCCAAGTGAAAACTCTGATTTGCACCACACTGAAACAGCAACACAAACCCCTCTGCACTAATAAACTTTTTCACTCTCACAGAGTCCAGCCACAAACTTGGAAACATCCACCTAAAACTGAGCCCACAAAAGTGCTGGCTGGGAAAGCTGCTGCTGGCTACAACTGCAACTGCACCCATCGAACAGCCCCACCGTTTAAGAGAAAAGAGAAAAAAAGATGAGAAAGTGTCTAAAAGAGACGTAACAGATGAACACAGAAAGAACAAGAAAGATTAATGTGACAAGGAATAGGAAGCAGAAACAAGGAGGAATAAAAGTAGACACTACAAAAGTGAAAACAGCTAAGATGCCTAAGAAAGAAAGAGAAAGAAAAAGCTACAAAAATACCTGGGAAACTGTACTGTCAGTAAAAACTCACATATGACACACCTGAAAAATGAGATACCATCATGAGGGAGCCAGGAAATTGCAAGCAGAGAGGACATGAGAATCACATTCAGTAGACAAGCAAGACAATAAAAACAAGAAATTACACAAGACCACCAGAAAGTTGATACCAGGAAAGATGGGAAAGTAGAATACAAAGCAAGCACTAAGAAGATGAAGAGAAAGTAAAACAGCAAATATATATTAACAAGATGAATATCAAAATATATTCACACACAGGTACCTTCCAGTTTATTCTCCATTGTCTTGGAGGCATCAGCTGGGTTAGTCTGAAGGGTCTTGGAGGACTACCTGGCTTTTTTATTTTTTACTTAGCAGTTTGCTTTTTTACCCCTTTTTATGCTGCTTTGGGCTGTAACCTCCCTTTTTTGGAGGGGCCCTGTATGATTCATCTGCTCCCCTGTCCCAGTGACATTGGGGTGCTCCCATCACCCTCCCAGGCTTCCCCAGACCCCCATTTATACTCACCCCCAAAAAAGGCACAAAATGAGTGAAACTGCCCTGGGCAGCACCTTGCTGATCTAATAATCCAATCTAATAATTCAATAATCCAATCTAATAATCCAATAATCCAATCTAATAATGCCATTTCCATCTGTACATGCCCCAGCCCCACAAAGGGAGGGAAGCCCCCAAGCAGGTGAAGGCCCCCAAGTTGCTGCCCCACAGCAGAGGGGGAGTGTGCCCAAGGATGGGGCCTCATCTCCTGGAGCTGCTCTGCTACCAGCACACACATGCACATTTGAGTAAAGAATGCTTGAGACCCAAGGTGGATGTAATTTTATTTTATACTGATTTTGGCAGTTCTGGAGAATAGGAAGAGTCATCATCATTTAAGACTTCATGCTGTCATCTAAATAGTCCATACAAATACAGCTGATGAATGAAAATACAGATTTTAGCACATATATATTATTGAAATTCATGTTGAGAACAGATAAACAATGACAAGCAGCACATCTTATCCCTGCATAAAATAGCATTTTCCAGTTTCACACCATAGACAGATCCAAAGCAAGGAACAGTGAGTTCTGTGGTGGATACACCACTTCACCATCAAGGATTGCACTGCCAAACATTATGGCCACTGCCACCTCTTTCAAATTTGACTGAATTTTGTCCACATAACAAGAGCAGAATTTGATCCTTCTATTGGAGAGTGCTTTGCTGGTGCTCTAGTGATGAACACCCTGAATGCTGAGCTACTCAACACTGCTCACAAAACAGCACAGTGTGTTTATAATTACTACCAACCAGGAAAGAAAAAGCCTCTGTCACAGACAGAGGTGGATTGAGCTGAACAGCAATAAATATCAAATCTACCAAATTACTGAGAATTGTATATAAATGGACAAGGCAAATGTAACGAAATGAAAATTAGCAACATCAAAGACTACCATTCATTAGTAAAACTCTGAGATGTGTAATGATGGAGCATTAGTTAGCACTTTGCTTTTATTTATTTACTTACAAGGACTCCAACCTGAAATTTCAATGAGTTGCAGTATAAAACATGCCATGAAGCTGAGCTCAAGTTTCCTTCACAGTGAGTGGTGATATGGTCATTAAAATTCAGCATGTGATCCACCAAATCAAATGCTGAGGTCTAATTTTGGACAGGATAAATGATGCTCATGTTTACAAGAGCTCCTGTGGGTCAAATGACCCAAATGGTTATTGCACACTTCTTCCTCCACCTGAATGATCCTGGATGAGCCACTGGGAGCACAGAGGGAGTGTCCACAGTCACTGGGAAAGAAGGATGCACCAGGATCCTTTCCAAAGGGTCACTGAGAGAGAACTGGACTAGGACTGAGCAGTGACACAGATCCCCCTTGTGTTCTGCTGTTCTGTACATCAGGAGCAGTCCAGGATCTGAGCTGCACAAAACCAGGTTTCAGTGCTGTTAAAGCCTTCTTGGTTCCACCTCTGTGACTCAGGATCTGATCCTTGCTTTGTGAAAAGCATCTGCATACATGGAAGACAGGGTAGATTTGGAATGAGCATGCTGATAAACATCATCAGGGCGGGAATCTCTTTGGCATGACAGGATAACCTTACTGCCCCTCAAAATCCTGTTACATTACCTAAATTGGATCTGTACAGAACAATTATACAAAAAGGATCATTCTTCCTGAAAGTAGCAAAGCCAAGTTGTGACTTCACTCTGAAACAACTCTTTCAGGGCAGCAGTCTCAAATGCAGTTTATCAGCAACAACTCCTGTTTCTTCAGCTCTTAAAAGAAGTGATCAGAGCTCATTTTTCAAAGTTTGGCAGGAAAATTATCTTCCAATTTCACCTCTAGAGCATCCATACCTGGAAAATCCTTCTGTAACTCGAGCCTGCTGGTAGACTGAGCCAGAGCCTTGGCATTTATTTTTAAGGTTTTTGGCTGCATCCTGTTATCACTGTCTTCACCATCAGAGGTGGGACTTATTTCTTGAATTTTCAAGAGATCTCCAGTACTGAGAGTCTTCTCTGTGTTACTGGAACTCATGCCCAGGGCTCTTGCTGGAAGGCCTTCCTTCCTGGAGCTGATCTTCTGAAGTTTGGCAGGGAGCTTGTTCTTCTCTCCTGTAGTATCAGCACAGTCCAGTGG